CCCCTATGCCATCCTGTTCTCCGCCTGGCTGATGCCAGGAATTTCTTGGCCGGACTCCATGACCATGCTGGGGAAGCTGGCTGCCCCCACCTCCCAGAATGACATCCAGCTACTCGTAGAAGTGGCATGTGTGAGGTGCTTACTCAGAGCATCTGCTCTCCTCCTTCACCTTATGGTACAACTGGTTTTTCACTCTGCACTGCTGGACATCCCTGGAACATCCTTTCGCCCCAAGGCATCTTGCAATCTTGCCATAAATCTCAGCATTCCTCTCACTGGTTCTGAGCTCAGTGAGGATGGCTTCCTCTCCCCACATCTCAATGGGATCCAAGATCTCCTGGACACTCCAGTCTGGTACTCTTCTGCACCCCTGAGAACTGGAGCCTGTGGAAGCAGAAGTTGTCTCATTCACTGCAGTGTCCGTTGCAATGTTGGAATTCGTCTCCACGTGCTGCTCGCTCACAAGGTTGACCACATGGGACGTTCTGCTGTTCCTGGGATCTTTTGAACTCAACGGGAGAGCAATAGAGGCAGAAATGCTGGCCAGAGCAGACAGCTGCAAGAGGCCTTTCTGAAGGCTAGTACAGTCAAATTTCCAGCAACGCTGCATCTACGCTAGTGTAACTTCAACCACGCAAGGTCAAGAAGAGCATTACTCTTGCTGAAAAGGAGTACAGAAATCAACATCAGCGGCCCCTAAGGGCAAGCGTTTATACTCCTGTTTTAAAGCTGTAAACTGGAAGACTGGATTGCCATTTTTTCTTCTATTGCTCAAAAACAAATTCCATTTGATTTTGCAATTACAACTACTATTGTTTTATTTGGATGCAAGGTGTTTTCCCATGACAGCAGTCTCTCATGGCAGATAAAATGAAAACAAAATCAATACAAATAATATCTGAAATAACTGCTATAAAACATTTTTATTCTTAAGTGGTGCAATACAGTAAAATTTTTGATGACATATCTTTATAGTAATGGATGATTTTTGTTTGAGCCAGCATAACTACTAAAGTGCAGTTTAAAAATTCCTTTGCAAAAGTTACATATTGTAGACTAATCCTTCAATCAGAAGTATCTAATTTAAACAGACACAAAACTTTCTCTTAAATTCAAAATCTTTAATCTTCTCTTATATGAAATTAAGTGATAGAGGGACACTTATTCAAATTGTGTGTAATTTTTGGGAAGGTCATAGCCTTTTTTTTTTCCTAAAGGAGTTTATGGAAGTGTAGGAGGAGTGGGAAGGCAGTGTTCACATTAGTTGTCTGTGCATCTAGTAGTAACCCTGAGTCAAAGCACACATTTTGTGCAAGGCCCTTTGCAGACCTCTGTGGCCTATCCTTCTCTCCCACATAGTGCCTGGACTCTTTCTTTCTTAAATTACGAACCCCGTAGTGTAAACTGATGCTTTAAGCAACATTTACTAACGTTACTCTGTGCTGCACAAAGCAGCCTATTCCTGCCTCTGCACCTTTCTGGCTTCACAATAAACTGAATTTCCGTATGGTTCTCTGAGGAGGAAGATGTGAGCATATGGTAGATGGATTAGGGGAAAGAGAGGTGGTTACTCTTGTAACTGTAAAATCACTAATTTGCATAAATTTAGCGCTGTATTAAGTTGGAATTTCATTCACTTACATCAGTGGTCATCACCAGTAGATATTGGTGCCTCTGACAGGTGATCCTGAGTGGTTTGGCCAGGAAGCTGCCCCCCTGGGAGCCTCCTGCTTGCTGTGCAGGGTATGGGGGGGAGAAAAGGGAGTGCTGATGTCAGGGTGTCCCTCCTCCCCCCACTTCTCTACCCTATCTCCACACAGAGAGAAGGGGATGGAGGGAGCTTGGCAATGGAAATTTCTGTCACTGTCACACACTGTGTGTCTTTCTCATTCTCATAAACACACACTGACCTTCCTTCGCATCTCCCGACCCAACAGAAACGTGGGTGATTATTGTTGTTACTTCTGTTACTGCGTGTGAAGTGTGATACTATTGGTTTCTGACTGGTCTGTGCATTTCATAATTTTCATTTCTCTCTTATGCTTAAATTTTATTATTTGAGTAGTGAGTTCTGAAATGCCTAACCTGTCATGGCTGTAGTAATGATCCCCATGGTAACTGCTGCTCCTAGAAGTGTCTGGCATGTCCTTGCAGCCAGAATGATGAAGCAGGGAGTCTCCACATGCTGTCTTTACCTGCAGACACCTCTCCTGCAGTTCCCATTGATCAATAAGGGGGACCGAGGCCAGAAGAAGCTGTGGGCTCAGTGCCTGTAAATGAGGGACAGTATATGGAGCCATTGCTTTACATGCCAGCTGCTTTCAGGATTGGTGCAGGGCCAGGGTAGGAGTAAGCCTCACTTAACCCCACTGTTCCACCACCCGGAAGCTGTCTCGGTTAAATGGTACCCAGCCAGAGTCTGCTTCCTGAACCATTGTCCCAACTCTGAACCTTCTCCTGCACCCAACCTCCTTCCCCAGCCGTGAGTCCACCTGCACCCAAACTTCCCCAGAGCTTGCACCCTGAAACCTCTCCTGGACCCCAATTTCCCACCTTGGGCTACGCCCAGAGCCCCTCTCTCATTCCAAACCTTTTGGACCAAGACCAGAGCCTGCACCCCAATCCTCAACCCCAGCTTGGTGAAACTGAGTGTGGTTCAGGGAGTAAGGGGAAATGGAGTGAGCAGGGTGAGGCCTCAGAGAAGAGGTGGAGCAGGGGCAGAGCCTTGAAGGGGCTGGAAGGAAGCAGGGAAAAGGTATTTGGGTTTGAGAGAGATCTTACATTGCACTTAAATTGAAAAAGTGATCTTGTGGACCACTGACTTCCATGTTGTCAAAATTTAAGTGAATGTTAACACCACTGAGTAGTCCCACTGCTCGATTTTCAGAGTGATCCTCTCCCCTTCTTTCAAAGAGAGGATGAAAACTTTTGATGGAAAATAGCTTTCTCATAGTGGTTTAATGCAACAGTTATAAATATATTAGGAATTTTAAAAAGGAATGGATGTCTTTTTCAGGGTGGATTGATTTAAAGCACCAAAAAAAAAAAAATCATGGATTTAAATAGATTCCCACGGATATTACTTCACATATTTCTTCAAACAATGGTGCAAATTGGATCACTAAAACATGTTAATTTACAGCTCAGTACAACATTGTACAATATCCAAGTGGGCATACTTTGTGTAATTTTTTAGATGAACTTAATTTTTATTTTAAGAAATAGTATATAATACTCATTATCTGTGTCAAGCTGCAGATGCAGCAGCAGTACTTTAGAAATGGTAAAAAATAAATCAGACACACAAACACCATAGCATTTACATTTTATTGAACTAAATCTTCATTGTCACAAATGTTTTACTTTTGCAATTGCAGCACTTTCCTGAGTTGCCAACAGATAGCTGTCCTTAAATTTTTTTTTTTTATTTTCAAATTTTATTAATTCCAACAGATGGGTCCACAGAACACTAAATGTACTAAACACTAAACTTTTACAACTAGCTCTCATATTCCTCATTCCCAGTGTCATTTTGATATGGACCTTATTCCACTTTACCAAAAAAGCTAAGACTATGCTTAGCATGCACTTAACTTTGGGGTAAGCCCCACTGAAAACAAGTATGGGATGGGTTCCTATGGGAAAGCTGAATTATGCTAAAGTAAAATAGGGAATAGATTTATGACATCACCATTATGGTCTGTGACTGTGATGGTCCAAAATAAGAGGCATATATTATGTAATAAAAATAAGAAAATGACACACAATGGTAACTGGCAACTCTAGACTTCTCTTACTGCAGCTTTCTGTACTGTATACTTGGGTGATAGATTCTAAACCTAGTTAACTATTAACCAAGTCGTAAGGATTAGCTAAGCTAAACATTTTCTTCTAGCAACATCCAGCATAGCAAACAGCTTGGGAATTTAATTGTTACATCACACTAAAAGACATAGAATCTTGAAGAATGATGCAAATCTGTCAGGGATGGTACTTAGTCCTGCCCTGCCATGAGGGCAGGGGACTGGACTCTTGACCTCTCGAGGTCCCTTCCAGCTCTGAGATAGGTATGTCTCCTTTGCATTGCAAAGTTGATCGACATTATTTTTCAGACATATCCATATCTTCATCCACATCATTTTCTCCCAGTAAGCAGTTTTCCTTGTGCTGTTTCATTCTTGCAGGTAGGCCCTGCACCATCTTGCACTGATACAGTTGTCACATTTTCCTTTTTTACCCAGGGAATGAATTTCTTCATAATATTCCCAGATAGTCTCATGCCTAGAAGCTATGGCTGTTTTTCTGTGGCAAAAGTGTGGGAGAATATAGAAAATGTGTCTTCCCTTTTTCATTTTAATCCACTCACTGTTCGTCCTTTCCTATATATTCTCTCTTTGTCTTTAGACAGTGTCTTAACTAACTTTGCCATGTTTGGCCCAGATCTACCACCACATAAGCACAGAACTAAAACAATCCTATCAAGTCTGTGTCTGTCTTCGCACGTTAGTTTGCTGAGAAAGCCCAGAGCAGGGTTATTAGGACAGACAAGAGCCATTAATTTATTTTTAGGAGATGGTAAGTGTAGCATGTTTGTGATGAGAATTAATTGTAACTATTATTTTTAAATGAGAAATGTATAATGTTATTGATTTTTTTAAAACAAATTAAAAATAGTTTTTTTTAAATAATTGATTTTAATCTATCATGGTTTGTTTACATATGGATACCGGTAAGTATAGAAGATCTTAGACTGTAGATGTACTGAGTATAGAATAAAGTCAGAGGATGCATACAGGCCCTCCTATCACACAATTCCTTTCTTAATCTGATTTCTTATCAAAGGTTTAACCAGCACTTGTAAGTGGCCTTTGACTATTCAGGAAGCATAAATATTGAATGCTGGAGATTTCATTTTAGAGGTTCATGGAACTGTACTGTTATTACTTTGACTCATCATTAGGGCCATAGAAACGTGTATTAATAATGAATTTACTTCTTAGGACTATCTAATGGCATTGTCTCTACAACAAGAGCAGCAGAGCCAAGACATCAATTGGGAGCAGATCCCAGAAGGAATCAGTGATCTAGAGCTGGCAAAAAAGCTGCAGGAAGAGGAAGATAGACGGGCTTCTCAGTACTATCAGGAGCAAGAACAAGCAGTTGCAGCGGCTGCTCAGGTCCAGGTAAGAGCATGTTCCATGATTACAGTATAGTTCTTCTTTGAGTGGTTGCTCATGTCCATTCAAAGTAGGTGTGCGCGCCGCGTGCACCACGTCTTCCGGAGCATTTTCCCTTGCGGTACCCGTAGCGCCGGCAGGGCGCCCCCTGGAGTGGCGCCGCCATCGTGGGGCATAAGTACCCCTGCTGGCGCTGCCCCACCTCAGTTTCTTCTTACCGCCGTGTTGGTCGTTGGAGCGTCTCTCTCTCTCTATAGCTGTTAGGCTTAGATAGGTTAATGGTTCCCGTTTCTCACTTTGTAAATAGTTGTGTAGTTAGATAGTTAGGTTTTTTGTTTTTGTTCCTTGCCCCCTTGGGGGTGAGGAATGCCAAGGCCGCAAGGCTTTAAAACGTGCGCTGACTGCGGGAAGTGTATGCCCGGGGGCGACCCACACGACAGCTGCCTTAATTGTCTGGGTGAGGCCCATTTGGCAGTAGCTTGCAAGATCTGCAAGTCTTTCAAGCCTCGTACCAGAAAGGACAGAGTTTCCCGCTTGAAGCTTCTCCTTATGGAGACGGCGCTTCAACCGGCACCGATGGACCAGCCTGCGGTGCGCAGCGCACTGGCCTCCACGCGCGAGGCCATACACCGGCACTGGGCGTCGGCGGCAGGCTCCCGGCACCGGTCTCACTCTCCCCCTTCTAAGAGGGTGAAGAAGTCCCAGGGCAGGTCCCTGTCCAAGAAGCCGACGTCGGCTGGACACCGCACCACTAGCTCACCGGTGCGGGCGCCAC